ACGGTGATCAAACGCAATGCACGAGTTACGCCTGACATGAGCCCTGAGTAATGAGCTGCGCTATATACTGTTGATGTAAACGTTGTCCAACAGGAGTTTTATTCTTTCAGTGGAGGACGCATAGGTGGTTCGTGAATACGCTTATGAGGAAACGAGGTCCCGCCGATGATTTGTGGCGCAGAAACTGTTAACGCCGTGACGGCCATGTATGTCTGATCATTTGCTGTATACGGCGCCTACTTGGCACGGCTGCCTGTGACAGTTGTGACATCGTTACGTGACAAAGCGCCAACTGCTGACTGCATGTAGTCATAAGAAACGTCTTTGTCGCTGTCATTCGACAAATCTGTTGGGGGCAAAGGCGACAATAGCACTCAGCGTCATGTGACATATCCGAACTCTCTCCGACACCTGTTTCATCGAAATGGACACCTGGCTTACCCTACCGGACAAGAAGATACCCACACCAACATAATTCAATCTATTATGGCCCAATCGCCAAAATGATCAGCCACCGTGCAAGTCAAGTGTCTCCTTCCAAGGGAGGCAAGCTTCCACGGCCGTCGGTACATCGAGTTTATACAGAAGAGCCGCTGGCAGACTTCATCAGCTCATTTTTGTCAGAAAAGAAATGAACGGTCCAACAAGAAACGATAACATATCTGGCAATGTTGATCACTGCAATCATGGATTTCTTGGTTCCTATTTGTCTGGTAAGTATTTGATATTGTGATAAACGTGAAAAAGCAAAACCTGACGCGTTATACTAGTTAACCTTGTCTACTGAGGTTTATCTACAGGCGAAGTCAGGAAGTGACATTTTCATGATTAACAGCTAACACTCAACGATAAAAGATACAACCTGAAAACTGATAGTATAGTCTTTAAATTATTCTATTACTAAGATTTTGGAAAAACAGTACTGTTCCAGACGAAGCACCAATTTAAAGTTAAACGTCGATCACCAATATACACATAAGAACGACTCCTGTTGAAAACTATGTATTCAAAATAGTTTCGAAATTGATACTATCACCTTGAATAACAATCGTTCAAAGGTCATGAGGCCGAGCACAAATCGGTTATTGAAACAGGTTACTATATTAACATCATAACATAAAACCGCTGAACCATGCTTCACCTGCCCCGAAACTTACTCTCGTTTAAGAGGGCAAGCTTACACAGCAATCAGCACATAAACAACAAATGCATAACTGAGAAACGGACAGTGAAAAAATTTCTTGAAGGCCTTCCCTAGGAGTACGGAACAATACCTGTCGTATTTCGTATTACGCACTCGGTCACCGGCGGCGAACCAACCGTAATTAACAGGAAACTTCATTTTGCAGATGTAATAGCTGTAAGCAAAAGGTTAAAACAATGACAGATAGAAATTCAAAGAAATAATACAAAAATTGCAGACATTCTTGTCGAAAAATTTTAATGATCTCCCAAAAGAAATGGACAACAATGAAAATGGAAGAGAACAATTAAATACAATATACGAAAAGCTCTAATTATAACATTGCATAAATAGCCAACGTCATGAATAACAAAGTAGAATATTCATGATCAGCAACAGCTAAGAATGTGCACTTCATGATCTTTCGTCAAGCACAGCCACTTCGACCATAAAACCTTTATGGCATTTTATGCACTTTCCGTAGATATCACGTTTGAAGGTTAGATCTGCGCAGGAAACCTATCGACCTCGATGAGATGTTCCAAATTCTGACCGCTTCTGACGAAGTTAACTTTTATCCTCATCTTAAGCTGAAGAAAAATACAATTTAAATATTCAACATTCAACAAGCAGATCAACGAAAATTTCAACATACCATTTGGCCCGGAAGAATACGCTGAACAGTCAAATTCTGCGTAATACTTCCAGCTTCATTCGGAAAAACCGTTTCTCCTGATGGCGGAAACATCTTCACTTGGAAAGCCTATAATGTTGTGCAAAAATCGCGTTCTACGAAGAGAAATTTATGAATTTCAACTATTCCTCAAATATGACGTTGAAAACGTTTCTGTGCATGGTTCCAATTGTGCTTATGATACGTTTTAGCGGGACTGCCCAATAATCGGAAACAGCAATGCACAACAAACATTTTCCTACAGCCTTCACTGAATTATTTGTTAATCAGTCCATGGCTGTCTTCCTTGACGCCACGCCTTCTAATAACGCTTGACGACGATCCTCAGAGCAAAATGTAAGTTCAGTCCTGTTAACTTTTCGATACCATCTTTCTAGCGCCATTTTAGGTTTCCTTTCGATCTTTTACTCAGAACAGTCTTGAACCACATAACTTTAGACACCGTCGAAGTTTGTCAGGACGGAACGTCTGTTTGTCCTTCCATTTAGCCAAATGGGGTTCCAGGTTCTAGGGTTCCCTCTGTAATTGTTTTCCCTACTCGAAGTTTACCTCGGAAAGCCGCAGCCACTACTTCTGCTTCTAATGAAATAACTTAGCAAATTTTCCAGAAATGTCATATGTTATAACAACATTTCGTATCCTTCAAATTTATAAAAACATTTATGAATACCGCTGATAACATATGCTCGCTGATTATTTTGTGAAAGCTGAATACAAAAGATACTCGTTTAAACGGAAAAGTAACAAACATACATGCTTCGACACTGAATGCAGCTATACCTTTGTGACAGCAACTTGAAATACAAAGTTGTCCAGCTGAAACGGAGTCTTGTTTACAGCTTCTAATCGCAACGACAGCCGGTCGGCCGTCGTTTCTTCCAAACTGAGGCTGATCACGGCTCCATCCTTATCGAATGTACTGAATGTATTTCCAGCTGAAACATGAGCGTATGACAACCAAAACATTACAGACAACTGTAGAATTTATACACGGCTTTGAAACGTCCCTGATATTCACCACGTTTTCCAGGACAGGCCATGACTGCTGCAATGCGTCAATGGATGGTGGATTCACAACGGGCGATATTCCTTAAAACCAGTTCAATCAATCCTATTCAGATGTCGTAATTTAATATGTAATGATATAATTTAACTTTTACTGGGCCAGCATGAAAACGACACTAAACACAACTTATTGTAACTCTGAAAGGGACGGAGCCCGATAAGAAACAGTAGTTTCCGGGAGTAAAATGTAAGCAGGCAAAACGTTTATGCGCTAGTGGCATTCTGACATAATAAATTTTATTTTATTTATTATAATTTTATTTAGTATTTAACATGCCCATTTACCTTATCATTTACGATATTTAATACACCTTTACAAAACTATTACCTGTGCCTAGCTGCTAACCATCTGA